CACAGCCGTACCCTGCCCGAGGCAAGTGAGTTGAGTGTCGGTCCGCAGGCACAGCCGTACCCTGCCCGAGTCAAGTGAGTTGAGAGAGTGGACGCGTGTACAGCGGGGCTTAGGATTCATCGGTTAGAGGAAGGAATAAACTAATTGAAACTACGCTGCTGGGAAATGTTGATGTTAGTGGGGGATCATTTGTGTACTCGGCATTGAAGTTTAACTTTTATGCCTCATATGATACACAATTATATTACAACGTGGTTATCTTTGACGGATATAGAGAGTAATTTTATGACCAATGATTGCATCAGAAACAGAGAATTGATGAACAGTGCATTAACTCATCCACCGAGAGCAAGGACCACTTGGAGCGCACATGGGTATGGCGGTTAACTGATCGCTGAAAGATACTTGGATAATGCAATATAACAAAATAAAATGAATCCAACTAACTTCTAATCCGTGATCATCTAACTCGAATTTTACCCCTAATGATAGCTACAAAATTATGCCGACTACGAAATGATCACAGCACTATTTTCTACAAATATTTTTATAATAAGGCCCAGTAAAAAAATGCAAAATTTCCCAGTAAAAACTTGGAGCGAAGAACGATACAATTCTACTTCAGGTTTAAGCTCATGGAAAAATGATAAACTAAAATAGTAAGCTCTGGTGGCCCTAAGCAGATTTATTCAAGCATAGATGGGTCAATTCTATGAATAAATTATTAATTAATACAGCAAATCGCAGGAGCAGATGATACAAAACATGAGTGAACGGAGACGATTATCCTAGTAATAAACTCACCTGGTTGAGTGTTAACACAAACGCCAAGATTGAGGCAAGGGTCGTAGCGGCACTCGTCGACGTCTATACACGCGGTGCCGTCACGCGACAGTTCCTCGCCGACAGCGCACCTGCCATTGCGTACAATTTTACATGAAAACCGAACCTATATACTAATCGGATAAAATTTTGATTTGCGATTAAAATTTTATAATTTGAATTGTGTGATTTAAAATAGAGATTGTTTGTGCATTGATAGAGAAAAATTACTGCGAAAAGTTGGATAATTCTTGCTCAGGTGAGAAAGTAATTAGGAATAGGATATACAAATTTTGGATGCAAGTAACGTAAATGGCTTGGAAAAATGGTACACAATATAAAGACTGTCGGCTTCAAGTGGGCAAGCTACGGACCATCAATAATCAACATCCGGGGATTTTTAACAACGAAGATTCCGCTACAAACCCGCAGGTTGCTAGGCCCCAGCTGTGGCCGCAGGTTAGAGGTGGAGGACAGCTGGTGTTGGTGCACACAGATGGCGACGTGCAGCCCGCGATGACGTTTGCATAAGACGTTACTGAGCCAGCTGCATGCCTCATATTCTTGCTGCTGCTGTTGTTCTTATCAGCAATATCAGGCAAGGGCAGCAAATGTCCGAAGACGCGCACGGCAGATAAACAGCCTTTCAGGAAAAAAATTAATCGATTCGAACAATTTTGAGGTGCGTATTTTTTATAGTATGAGTTTTCATTCAATATGTTTATTTATGACATGTTATAAGTTTTTGAGCTGAAATTAATATAATGTGATGTAAAATAAAAAAAACATCACACATAGAGAAATAGATTCCAATCGTAAATTATTTCCACTTACATCTTATAACCTCTTCTTAATATTTCAAGACGAATAAAACAAACAGTACTGAAAATAATTAAAACATTGAACTTATTCATTCATGTATGGAAGCATCGAAACGTTTTCTACAGGCTGAATACAAACAAATGCACATATCACACCATTATTAAAATCGTTCCACAAGCTGCCTCCATCCCGCTCGACTCTATTCCTCGTCAGACGGCGGGATCGAGATCGTTTCCTGCGGGAAAATTTGAAATATTCGGAGCCAGGGAGCCGAAGACCCGCCGATCTTCCAGAGACCCGCCGCTGCAAGTTCGATCGGTTGCTATACGAAAGAGCCTTGCGTTGCTTCTGAGTAGAGACAGGAGTTTTACCTTTAACGAAATTTGATGAAGATAGTAGCAATTTCTCAGTTGCATCTGGAGAATCATGCTTAATTTTAACTGATCCCTTTGAAAAATCAAGGGATTTCGGGGCCTCATCCACAGATTGCTGCGCCACGTCCAAAGATCTAGTGGCCACATCCCCAGATGCAGGATCTACATCCAGAGATCTTGGGAGAACATCCATAGATCTCGTGGCAACATCCGCGTGTCTGAAGAAAACGTCTGAACCCTCAGCCAGACCTCCCAGCCACACGCCGCCATGTCTGCTGACGCTGAAAGGTAAACTCCGCAGCTCTGGCAGCAGAGCGCTGGCGTACGTGTCTTGCTCAAACCTCTTCAAACCTTAACTCGATTTGCGCCCAATACTCGGGCGGGGTGAAGGCAAGAGCGACGTTGACGTAACTCTTGCTGAGGAAGAAGAGAGACGGCGCCTCGGTCGTACAGCTGGCACCCGCCCGCCCCGGTGTGCACTCGCACTGCTCCGCGCCTGGCGACCCCTGGCATCTGCGGTGCCGTGACGTAGTCAATAAATCAAGGAGCTCAGCAGACATATTCTCATTAATATTACTAACAAGTTTACTTTATACAAGAGGAAAAAAGAATGATGACAAGAGATACTATGAGGCGAGGCATAAAATGAATTATCGGTTATTCACGAGAATAAACATTTTTTTGTAAGGAACGTAGTTCAGTGGTGACAAAACGATCCCAGAAATAGACAAGTATCAATTGAAGGCTGATAAATGACAGTGCATCAAATAAATGCCATCAAATAATATGTATTTAGAAAAAACGTTCACATTAATTAAAATAATTTACTTATTCGAATTAAAATTTATGGCAAGAAATCGCAAGCACATTGAAGTGTGGCGGCATAAGAAGAAAACTTTCAGTTCACTATTACGGATGAATTAGGAGTTATGCTGCAAATAATATTAACGCGAACTATCCTGACAAGGTGCTTCTATTATCTAACCAAAAACTTGTACACATTTCATCAAAGTTATGAAAGAATGTAAAGTGATGGATAAGCAAAAGAGAATTCAAGTCTACAAATTAAAAAAGTAAAGGTTCCAATTTCGTACGAAGGCGGCGGTACAAGAGACAAAAGTTGCCACCGGCGAATTTTGAACAATTGAAAGGGAGGAACTCGACGGACAACAACGCTTCGATTTTCATAGCCTAACATTACCCATTCATATCGTTCAGTGAGAATATCGAAGCTAAACTTGTTTCAATGAACAATAAGCATAACGGTACCGGGCGTTGCGAGGACAAGCGTTCGAGGGCCGGAAGCAGGAGAGGGCGCAAAAAAAATTTGGGATGATGAATGCTGGAATTATTAAGGAGTTAACGGGACAATCGATAAGGCGAGGAGAAAATTATTCAACGGTTACAAAATATTGAGAAAATTGCGACGAAAATTCAGAAAGTCCATGGAAAATTCAATGAGTATTTAAGTTACTCTGCTTGGTCAGGAATGGGTTTAAATGCCTCCGACGAGCTACCGATACCGTGATTACCTTGCAACGAAAGCACAATACAAACATGTGTTTAGAGATACATAAGAATAATTCATATGCTTGAAATACATTCAATGCGAGTAATATATGCATAAATCGGTGTTACCATTTAATTCATTTTGTATAGCTTTGTTCGTTTTTGTCAGCACAGATTCATTTACCCATCTCTGATACTCAAAATTGCTTAAATCTACACTCTTTTCACCTCATTAATCCAAAAAATGTCGAGTCGATGCCAAGCATTGCCCGAGATACTTTTCTGCAGAGTCAAACTTTTCGGAGGTTTTCGCCCGCTACTCCTGACGACGAACTTGGGTTTTCCGTCATCGAGGAGCAGGCTGAAGAGTCGAGAATTTTTATCGACACGTGACTGAGAGCTGAGAATGTTACCAGTTTTGTGCTGAGTCAGCACGAAGATGGTGATGTGCAGTTGTGAACAAGTGGGTAGGGAGGGCAACACCATGGATGAGGGTACAGATGAGTTTCCTGATCGAGAACCAAGACCGAATGGCCCGAAAAGCCGGGTGAGAAGTTTGCAGTGCGGCCCCACCGTATGGCCCGGACAGTTACATCTGCCCGATACAGAATAATTATGATGGAGAACTTTATTTAGTTCACAAAACAGTTCCAGATTCTTATTTTCTTGCATTTATTTGGATTACACAGACATAAATCTAATGCAGGCAGCCAAGGTCACCAGTTAATTTGAGTAACCACCAAGTGCGAGTCATTGATACTCGAGAAGTGCAGAGCTTCACATGAAAAATTGATACAATCAAAAGAGATAATGGCCAGCTGCTCATAATATTTCGGCACAACGCGGTGCCCAGGCCGGTACCTGGGCTCGGGCGCGGCATGAGGCAGGCACTTGCCGCCGTTGCGGCAGGCGCGCCGGCAGCCAAGGTCACCAGTTAATTTGAGTAACCACCAAGTGCGAGTCATTGATACTAGAGAAGTGCAGAGCTTCACATGAAAAATTGATACACTCAAAAGAGAAAATGGCCAGCTGCTCATAATATTTCGGCACAACGCGGTACCCACGCCGGTACCTGGGCTCGGGCGCGGCATGAGGCAGGCACTTGCCGCCGTTGCGGCAGGCGCGCCGGCTGCAGGGCGGCTGTCGCGCGGCCGTGACGGCGCGCGCCGAAGTCAGGCTAGCAAGCTGCCCGCGCTCCTCTTCGGCCCCGTCCTGCGCTGGACATCTGAACAGCGAGTGGTACTTGAGAGGAGGTTAGCGTTATCTTTCGTTTAAAATTTAGAACGTGATAGAGAGATTTCGTATTCATGTCGCTAATGGTAGTTTTTACTTTTTAGCGACGAGTGTCAATGTAAAAAGTTTGGTTGTGTCCAAAACGAGATACTGATTTGGATTTTAAAATTGGTAATGCACTTCTTAGCCAATATTCGGCGTGCTTTAGAATTAAAGGTTTTGAATTGATATTTTTCCGTTTATTTCAAATCAGGGTATAGTATCTATCATTAGCAAATCCTTGATTTAAAAATAAAATGAAACTCGTGATGCTTTTCGGAATTTAAAAGATTTAAAAATAAAATGAAACTCGTGACGCTTTTCGGAATTTAAAAGGATCTAGTTCTGGTACAACGAATTAGGGGACTTCAGGGCTAACAAAATTGGCGGAAACTTGTAGCTTGAACAGTGCAATAGCTATTCCCAAATAGGTTGATTGAATATTAATGCTTAAATCTTTGTATGTCCAATTCGTGCTCTATTTCGAAGTTTTTCGTTAATCAAATATTAATCAAGAGTAATCAAATTAGGAGAGTAAGTTTAGTGTTGACGACTAAACACAGCCAAATAAAAAATGTAAATAAAAACAGATAGGGGACATTCCTCAACTTTAATATAGCGACAAAAAGAAGTCACTATAGTATTTTTGTAGGCAAAAACTGTAATTTTTCACCTGCAGGAAGATTCTATGCGCAGGGAAGGCCCGGCGTGGCTGCGATCGCCGGCATCTGCGAGGTGCCAGCGCTGGCCCAGCGTCGCGATGTCGCGGCAGCAACAGCGGCACGCAACTCGTCGTGACGCGCACTCGCCCAGCGCCGCAACGCCCGCGCCCAACACAGCCGCTCCGACTGCGGCCTCGATCTGCCGTGCCCCGACCGTGCGTTACAGGATCAGGGCAGTGATCGAATATTGCGTGTATAGAAACAAATTATTTCTATATTAAGATTAGCAGCATTTTAGTTAATAAGTCATACCTTGTGTTGATGCTGGAATATTAGAGACTCCAGAGAGAATCCGTGCTGGCTTTCCGGTGACCGTTGAAGCAACCACACTCTGGTGTGGCTATCATGGCTGAGCTGTATGGTTTCTACAGCCACAGCCATGACGTGTGGCTGAATGGCTGACATACCGTGGGACTTCAGACAGTCTGTCCCTGCTTCAGCAGAGTATTCAGCAAGCTGCTGATTCAGCAGCTTCAGGAGTCGGTCCAGCAAAGATTCAGAAGAATCTGAGTTTGGTTCCTGAAATGTTTTCAGCTGTGTTACCAGGCCGATAACTATAGACAAAATTCGCATCATAGACTATCTCAAAATTCACCACAAAGTCGCTGAAGCGGGACAAATAGGCTACATTTAACAACTTTCAGGGTTTCTATCCATGAGTCTACCATACAAGCATGATAAAAAACTTAATGTATTGCAAGGGGCACAAAATATAATTCATTAAATAAAGAATTATAGTGATCTTATAAGCTGATAAGACTATATTCGTTAGATGAATCATAATACTCACGTCTAAAATAAATATAGGTTGAAACTGCTGGTGTTACACAGAAGCCGAAAGTTGCCAATACTAAACATATTACGCATACTCTAGTTTTAGGTGTGTGTTAAGGACGATTGTTCAGGTTGAAGCCCTGGTACTGATTAGTAAAACCCTACATCCAAAGAAATGATGTCTGCACTTCTTACCTTTGATCACGTCCGTAGAAGAGCGGCGGCATACAACAAAACACAGAATGTTAAAGCGGAGCCAAAAGTTGGTCCGCTACATCACCACTGACCTCAGCGTCAGAACTCGTCAGGAGGTCACGAGGCAGGATGGCGAGGTCGACTGGAGTAGATCTGAGCGCTTCATCAACTCCGATGTTGCTGACGTCAGCGTAAACGGTGAGCTCTTGCTCATCGCCCGACGTTGACGAGAGTAGCAGCTTCGCTTCATGCCTGCAAGTATAGATATAAGTGAAATACAATTGAGTCGCGTCAGCCTGGACAGGCTGTAATTTTAACACAGTTGCAAACAAGAACTCGAGCAATCAGTGGGGCAAGCGGAGATGCTTGGGAACGAAAACTTTGTTGAATTTAAATGCCATTGCCATTCGAAATTCAGATCAGCCCATTGTCAGCAAGATTCAATAAAGTTTACATCACACTTGACAAAATTCAGGTATCGCCCTAGCTTATGCTCACGAGTCGCTATATTCGGCTTAGAGCTATTCAGTTCTGGATCTACTTTGCCACTCAATTGAAATAAACTTCTGGTCAGAATCTGCTTTCCAGCTTTCTAGTTTCTTGTCTCACCGAGTTCTATGCGGCGCCTATTTCAGGGTAGGGCCCACATCCAAATTTTGCTAAGGACGGGATGGATTTACACCAAAGAATTAACTTCTGGCTACATTGCAGTAATGATATTTCACCAGAAAATCGTAAAGGCCGTTTTTAATTATGGCATTCCTCTCATGGCCCAATACTGTGAAAGACAAGGAATGGGAATAAATATAAATAAAGTGAAGGGAATAAACATAAATCTTCCTTCATCAACTCATCCTGATTCAAAATAATTATAAAACACCCACCGTCCCAGGCCAGCTGCAGGGTCCAGCAGTAAAAATCCTGAGTCGCTATCCAGGTGGATTCCAGAATTAGATCCCAGCCATGTAATTCTAGCGCTGGGTTTATTTAATCCACGGCTAGAATTACTAAAAACAATTTCAGTCTTAGGGTGAGGCTTATCGGAATTGAGCCTGAATTTATTCCAGAATTTATAAGACACAGCATCCGTTTCAGCGTTGGTTCCGTGGCGTTGCGTTGCAGCGCCAAGAAAGGGCAAGTGAGGGAGACGCCCGATGGGAGCATTAGAGGTTGCCTGCAGAATGTTCTTCAATATTCAATCACATATTCATACACACAAGGAAATGATACATAATTGCAACAGTAAAATGACATGCACCTTATAAATAACTATCTCAAATGAGCTTCCTTACTTCCCGGATAAATATTGAGATAAATGTAGTAATAAGATAAGATGTCGATCTGTCATCGCCAGATTGACACATGGCAACGGCTGGCAGGGATCACGACAACTGTCAGCAGCCCTTTAAACTGTCATCAGTACTCACGTGAACTGCTATAAGTTAGACAGGCTGCAGTCATAACTATCAGCCGTGCTCAAGTGAATTGGCAGCAGTATCATTATTCCTCATCACCACCGTGCAATACGAACAGCACAAACAGTGGTGATGAGTCACCAGCAATACGAATGTCAGATATCGGATATATTCACCTGAGCTGACACGACAGTGGCAATCTTAACGACACCGACGTCTCGGTGAGCTGACTCAGCTGAATGAGGCACCAGAGTCAGAGTTATCTGACGTCGCATGGGCGGTGAACCAGCGTCTGACAGTGTCAGTGGCACTGACACAGCCGAAACAAGCGACTTCAGCGTCAGCAGTTCTGCTGCCACCACAACCCCACCGCCAGCGGACACTAGTCCTGATGAATTGTGTTTTCTTCAGTCGAAATCGATACAAAGTAATTGTAATTGAACTATTCAGTTATGCCCCGTGAACAAATTGATAATTAATATTGATAAAATATTCTATCCACAAAATTTATATACGGACATTACTATTGGCGCGTGAGGGTATGTGAGAGCAGGAGAGCAAGCACAGGACAAGAGATTCTTGTGCACCGCATTTCGTAAGAGGTGATGCGAGATCCGCGCTGACTATGCCAGTAAATAGTTCAATTGCTGATAATTTCATTCAACTCTTAATTTGGATCCAAGTTCAAATAAAAAACAAACATCTATAATTGAAAAGAAACAAGAAACTCTTACACACAACATTCGGGAATACAGAGAATGAGAAAAGTTTTGTATTGACCATCCCAAGATGATGCGGTACCAAATATTCGGTACCGGATCTACGAACCAATAATGCGTGCTGATGAAAAACTGCAAATGGTCTGCATCACATCAATTGACGACACCATTTTCTGGCAGATAGAAACTCACGAGATGTTTTTATCGCTGCGATACGTACCGGCAATGCGATGAATTGCACTTTTTCAATTGTATTTCAACCACTTCGAGGTTAATGAATAAATCACCAGGGTTAGAGTAACAAATCCTGGTTGAATTGCTCACCAGGGTTGAAGCTAACCCTGTACCCGGTATCGTCCGTGAGGTTAGGTTCGAGTTCAAAGGGCGGGCCATGACCCTGAGACAAGTCGTCAGGGTCGTCCAGGGTCAAGGTGAAGGGAACCCTTGACCCTGCAGGCAACCCTGGCAATTCCTTATCGCTGCGCCCTGCCATGGGGGGGAGCTGCACTCTAGAGCCCCCCAGCAGCAGAGGGGGGTTGTCGTTCACGTCCTCAACGCTCACCTGAGGCACCGACACGAGACGCATTTAAATAGAGCGGATATGAATTAGTTAAAATTCTGTTCAGATTCAAGTTTGAATTTGGATGAATTTGATAAAGGATGAGAATAAATTTCAAGTTGATAAGGATTATAATCCGAATATTGAAATTCTGCTCAAATTCAAGTTTAAATTTGGACAAAAGGATGATAATAAATTTCAAGTTGATAAGGATTATAATACGAATAAAGTGCTCATCTGAGTGGACTCGTGTGGGAGACGCATTGGATTCAATAAGGCTTCGGCACGGATGTTTGACCCTGCGAAGGAGCCTTGAATCTTCAACTAAAATTCACTAAGAAAATTTCATTAAAATTTATCGCGAATTTTTTGCTCAGAAATACCATGAGCATGCACAACAAGAAATAACCATGGATGCCTAACTGTGATATGTTGTGGACTTCACCTAAGAGGACTCGTAAGCTTTCAGCCAGAAGGTCTCGTTACTCATCATCTACCTGTATAAATTATTGAGAGATGGTAATAGTTAAAAGTAATGTGTGTCGTCACCATGGGCTCGAGTAGTAGTAGTAGTAGAATGGTTTGCTAGCGCTTCAGCTTTCAAGCTATTTCGCGCCGGAGGTCAAAATGTAACATCGCCAGAAGGCGGAAGGTCTCAATTATTCAAAGTCTCAAATTATTCATCACCCACAAGGGGTGGAAGGTCTCAGTTGTCCAGCCCGCTGAAGCTGTCTCGAAAGAAGCAGCGTTAGCATCTCAAAGAGACGAAGTGACAAGGAGGGACAAGTGAAAAGCAACAGAAACGAAAACACTCGAACAAGAGGTCGCTTACAAGGGACGTCGGCCGCCCACACGAGAGAGACAGTGAAGGGAAGTGTAAGGAATCCTACCTACATAATAATTTAATGTAAGGAATCCTACCTACATAATAACTTAACCCCACAACTGAGACCTGCAGTCAGACACCGCGAGCTCAGCGGTGGGGCGCTCAGGAACAATCCTCCTAGGAACGTGAAATCCCATAGGACTTCTGACGAGCACAGACACACGTCAGAAGTCCCCCATGAAGAGTCCATGCGCTTGAGTACCGTGATCCNGAGAGTCACGGGTACCGGAGAGAGTGAGTCACTTGTGCCAGAGAGAAAGAGTCCCGCCTAGAGAGTCACGGGTGCCAGAGAGAGAGAGAGTCACGGGTACCGGAGAGAGTGAGTCACTTGTGCCAGAGAGAAAGAGTCACGCCTAGAGAGTCACGGGTGCCAGAGAGAGAGAGAGTCACGGGTACCGGAGAGAGTGAGTCACTTGTGCCAGAGAGAAAGAGTCCCGCCTAGAGAGTCACGGGTGCCAGAGAGAGAGAGAGTCACGGGTACCGGAGAGAGTGAGTCACTTGTGCCAGAGAGAAAGAGTCACGCCTAGAGAGTCACGGGTGCCAGAGAGAGAGAGAGTCACGGGTACCGGAGAGAGTGAGTCACTTGTGCCAGAGAGAAAGAGTCCCGCCTAGAGAGTCACGGGTGCCAGAGAGAGAGAGAGTCACGGGTACCGGAGAGAGTGAGTCACTTGTGCCAGAGAGAAAGAGTCACGCCTAGAGAGTCACGGGTGCCAGAGAGAGAGAGAGTCACGGGTACCGGAGAGAGTGAGTCACTTGTGCCAGAGAGAAAGAGTCCCGCCTAGAGAGTCACGGGTGCCAGAGAGAGAGAGAGTCACGGGTACCGGAGAGAGCGAGTCACTTGTGCCAGAGAGAAAGAGTCACGCCTAGAGTCACGGGTGCCCATCCGGAGTCACAGATAGCGTATCCGTAAACGTATAATAGACAAGGCTACGGAGCATGACTGTGATCCAAAATAAACAAAATTTTTTGATTTGGAGAGTTCAAAATAATGTGAGAAGTACCCGTAAGTGGAACAGAATACTTCCTTACCCAGCGCTATTTTGAAAGAAAATAGCGAAAATAATAGGAAATATATTTACAAACAATATTAATCCTAATATTTATTTTGTCCTACTACTATGTTCATAACATATTCAGTATTTCGATGCACAAATTAGCTGCTCCTGGGAAAACCTCGACTTCATAACGGAGTTCTGAAGTGAATTGTTTCTAAGCGTAAAAATTATTGGGTTTAATCAAGGGACATGCGCTATATAGTTGAGTTGTGTGTTGCATGATTCGCGAACTTTTCATAATAATTTAGTTTAAGATCCTTCCTTCATGATATTTGGTTCTTCCTTGCGGACACGGCGCTTGAGGTTCCCATAACGTGCAGCTTCGAATGAAGAATTAGGTTGAAAATCCGGTTATATATAAGTTCAATAATGAGATTCGTTACACAACAGAATTAACATGCGCGTACTGCATTTATTCATCGCAGCGGAGCGCTTACTTAACATAATGAGGAACAACCTGCCACATAACAACGCACCTGGTCGGTGACCTGCACTCTGAAATTGAGTCCTGCTCTGTGCTGGGGGTTCTCAAAATCCAGCGGCACTCTAGAGAACAGGTCTGCACCAGCTGCGCCGGCTCTCACTTCCACCAACTGCCAGCCGAGCCCGCTTCTCGGCACCACCTGTAGTGCGCGTGATGAACACTATACGATGTTTTCTAGATGAAGTATGAATCAGACATTAAACATGCACGTATGGGTGAAGTACAATGTAAACAAGAGACTGAATTGTCAACAATGTGAATCAATAACCTCAACTGGGAGAATAATCAACCAGAAATTTATATGCCGACAGGCTGAACTTTTATGGTGTATTTACGTCAGCAAGGTTTTAACTGCCGTAGCAAATGCACTGGCGCAGCAAATGCACCAAATGCACTGGCGTAGTAAATGCACTAGCGTAGCAAATGCACTGGCGTGGCAAATGCACTGGCGTAGCAAATGCACTAAATGCACTGGCGTAGTAAATGCACTAGCGTAGCAAATGCACTGGCGTAGCAAATAGTTTACGTTGCCACTATATCACACTTTTTCAGCGTAAAAATAAATGATGAACTTGATTTAATGATAGAACCCAAAAAGCGACTGTAATATTATTGATAGGGAGTCTGGAGCTTGTCTTACATCGGCCAGTTGCATCACTTTCCTCGCTCGCCTGTAAGGCGACTTTTTCAAGCGAGGACCAACGAAGTTACGTTGATAAATTCACTATAGATAATGTGATATGAAGATGTTTTTCTACAAATGCGTCCATGAATTAAAAGCTCCTCGTAATAAGAAAGGAAATCAATAATTACCCGGTATGCAAACACATTGCTTTCATCAGGACCAACCACCACGAGAGTCGTAATGAAATTTTCAGAGAAGTTGCTGCGAGAATTGGACGCTGGAAATTCTACGTTGGAAGAAAACATAGCGCTAGAAGATGAACCTCCATTCGGCAACGAATCTTCGATGGGCGATAAAATTACGCTGGATGATGAAGCGTCGTGAGAGGACGATGCTCTGTTGGATGACGATATTCCATGGGACGAAGAATCATCGTAAGATGGTTGACGATATTCAGGGACCGAAACTTCCACGTGAGATTGCACGAAGGAAGGAGGAACATCGTTGACGTCGTCGATGTTTACGTTAACGCTGCAAGTACCTGAACAAACATTTATCTTATCTTATAAATGCAAGCTTAATTCTGCAGGAATTAAATAACATCTTACGGTAACTTACAATTTAACAATGATTTGATTAATGATTAATTTGAAAAAAAGTTAATTAAGTTATGGCCAACCAGAACTTAGTGACATTAGTTTTTTTCATTCGGTATGCAGAAGAGTAAAATAAATTAAAGAAAATTACCACATGCATTTATTTTTGCCGAGGTCTTCGGAACAAACGTAACATGGATCAAGCTACTGTACTTCATGTGATACGGTAGTAAGAGAAATATTAACTGGCGTTTGCGAGAAGCGTTTAGTTAAAAACGCTTTACTCATCACACGAGACACTACATAAAAACTAAAGCTCTGCCGAAGTCTCTAAAAGCCAGCTTAGAGCGGCCTTGAAAGAACCAAATTCATAAGCAGCGCTTGCAATAAAATAAAGAATGCGTTAAAGAAATGCCGCTGTGGCGTTCGTCTGGCGAAAGCAAACAAGTTGTGACGCATCTTATATAAAAGCTGCATTAATAAAGAACGTACGTACAGAATCAACAGATATTTCTAAGATTATTAATGATATATTCCAATTTATTGTGACGTAAGAAAAGACTTAAATTATTGTAGCTAATCTAAATTATATATCAGTTTTGAAACCAGAAAGCCTGAATGTATCTGGAGTTAGTATTAGTAAAATGCGATCAAATGTTTCAACATAAAATATTAATAAATTAAACCGTTTACAGATTAAAAATTTAAATCCATGAAATAATGTTAACTAACGCTGAAAAGTAGGACGAGTTCACTTGTTAATTTAAAGACACGGAAGTATACAGCAGTTTTCATGAATTAAAAAACACAGCTAACGGTTTATTATTTCAAATTCATAGATTGGGCGGTTCATCAGTAAAAATACGGAGGTATTCAACGGTTCTCATGAATGAAGGATGATGATAACGGTTCATACGTTCACATTGAACGGATCGCGTATCAGGATACGTTTGGACTTTTGACGCAGAGGTTACCCCAATGAAATAAATGTTTCATTGCTCACAGGAACGGGTTTAAATTTTCAATCATATAAACACACATATTTTACGTGAAAAAATGTTCACAAAATCACGCACGAATTCCTTAGAAATTATTATATAAGCTGGCCGCCCTGCAACGACGACAACCGCGATGCTAGAAAAACATGAATCGCAAATTTTGTACTCGAGAGGCACTGGTGGACTTTCTGGCGTTCTTCAGTACGCTAAATAAATAAATTTATTTAATTAAGTGGTAATTTTTTTGTCCTCTCACGGTAATCAAACCAATTTTTACTAGTTCTTCTTTTCAAATGATTGAACTTCTCATTGAATTGCAATATTGAATTTTACAAATTTTACTTGAATACAAATTTCAATGAAATTCAACAAAGTTTGCGGTCTTGAATGGACTGTACAGATAATTGCTACACTCATCGCTTCAATTCGAAGAAGTAAAGCAGTGTAGTGAGTCAACCCATGAAAGACGCTTGTATTCTGAGCTGAGCGAGGGATGGGAAACGATCTTCGTCAGTGTCGAAGTAGAGGCATGATAGGAATTCCATTCATTTTGTATATAGCTACTTGGTAATTACATAAACCCTCTTCAAACAGAGAACGCATTAACAAAGAGAGTTAAATCTTGCACAATAATTTCATGTTTGCGATGATATCAGAGAGCGAGTCGTGAAAAGGTATTCAGCATAATTAATTGTTAGGCTGAAGAACTCCTTTACAATACTCAATTTGGGAGAAAACGTTTGAAATTTGAAAGTTACTATATGAGTATATTTACGGTATCATCTGGTGATGGTAACGCAGCTACACGAGTTGAATTAAAATACATTTGTTTTAATCCATCAGATTGAATTATCCAAATAGACGGTTAGCAGCGCGTGGAAAGTTTGTTCGAGTTTAGCAAGCAGTTTTTGAGGAGCGGAATATAAGAAGTTCCTTTTTCCGACTTATTTTAAACGGTGCCTAAAGCCAACAATCGAAAACTAAAAGTTTCGAAGTCATGAGTAAAAAACAGAGAAGACTTGCACCTGAAAGTTGAATTAAACTGTTATGGTCCTAACAAAAATTATTTGCGTCATTTACTGCGTTTTAGCAATATATTAATTAATCGATGAGCTATTAATTTTTCGGAAAATACTAACATATTCTGGAATTAAGATCACATGGTCCTTAAATCACCAATTTACCAGGAATTTGAAAGCAAAGAATATATTTTAGTTTTTTCATTAGTTTTTATTTATTATTAACATATTTCACTTTCAAAGATCCCTCTCATGTAGGTATTTTCTTTTAATATCTCAATCTCCAACACAAGTCTATCAAATTTACCGTGAAGCTTCTATGCAACAATATAGTCTATCTTTCTCGATTGCAAGGTTGTACATCTGATGACCGTCTCCAGACTTGTGTTTTCCGAAAATTGACGTATACCAGCTTAAACACCAGCTTTTTTAGTTTTTGTTCATTTCGTTTCAACTTAAATGGGATTCAAACGTTATTAAACCACGGCTTCCGTATTTGCTCTACTTTCCATGCTACGCATACTGAATTTGAATATTTGCGCAGTAAATTTTCACTGACTAGGTTTCCGTCACAATTGCATGGTGTATACTCAAATCAAGAAATTCACATCTAAGCAATATGCTGAGGTTTTTTACCGAGCGAGACGATAGGTGTTCATTGTTCTTTTCCTTACTTTGGGCCCGCATCTGAGACTATGGCGAATTAACTGAAAGCACTATTCGCTATATACCTACTGAATGTAAATCTTTATGTATTGTTAAAGAAAAAAATTAAAATCTGCTCGTTTTTCAAGTACAAAGATACTCTCCCTGTTACTGTGCGATCGTCCCCAGTATATTAATATAGTTGTGAGCAGTGCGCATCTGCGTATGTCGGTATACCATCAAGCAATTTTCATTTTAGGCATGCGGAGCATATAGAGGCAGGAGTTATAGAAAAGAAACCTATTTACGCATCCCCCTCATTCAGCCGTACGCATTTGTGCCGAACAGTTTAACGTCCCGACGTCCAGTAGTGATTCTAGAGTTTTAGCCTTCGCAATCGGAGTTTCTGGCCTACGAATTTTTGAATCATTGTATATTTTTTAACAGAAGCACAGTATAAATGCCGCTTAGAGTTCCTATACTCTACAAATTGTAATAGCTAGTTCGTTCTGCTCATGTTTATCTTATTCATATTTGTTTTCACTTTTCGATATAGGTTTTAATGTCGTCAATATTAGGTGAATTGTTTGAATGTGAATTTTAGGTTACTAATTGTTGGTACCCGAGTTCTAGGTTTTGAACTAACGATGGAGCTCGACTCCGAAACGTTTACTCTTAAAAGAAATGGTGAACTTTTTGGCCATTTTTTTCGCTTTCAAATTCATATTCTGAAATTTTTGGGTAGATTTCAATTTTTTACTCCAATTTCAAGAATTGTAATTGTTCATTCGTAATGATTCGTTATTCTTTCTTTTATTTAAAAACTTGTAGAGAATATTAATGAAATTTCAAGTATTGTTTAAAAAATCAATTTGATTAACTCTGGGGCTTCCAGTAACAATAAATTCGTAAAATATTAAAAGAACGTAGCCTGTTACGAACTGTTTCATTTCATTCAGTATTGAAAAAAATGGTTATAATAGATTCCATTGCAAAGTATTTCCATTACACTTAATAACCTACATAAGAGTACAAATCGTGAATAAGTTAATATATGCTCAGTCATCATTATGACGAATAGTTGCGATGCTTATCATTCAACATAGTCTACAAAACGATTCAGAAAGATCAGCGTCAACATTTAAGCTCATTCCCTCTCTCTTCGTACTAAAACCCAAATGTCCGGCCATTGATACCCGGCTCCAAATCTGCCTGGAAACGGGCATGGACGGAAAGCCCTTAAATTGTATGTATATGTAACGCTGTGGAATTCCTGCCATAACGCGGCTGCTCCCTGCCCCGATTCTTATCTAGGGGTAGTTTCCGAGGATTTCGGCTCGAATACTGCTGCTAAACTGCTTTCCGGTAGTGAGCGGCACAGAATGCGTTTCAAAATTTTAACCGTTCGAGACCTTGCTCATAACTGAGTTCCTACATATAAAAATATTCGTCACTCACATGAGGCGAAAGATTCAAATTCAAATGTCTCTGGGGATGAAGCGCAACAATAAGGAGATGAGCATCACAAATAGGGCAAAGGAAAATAATGGGCAACACAGCCTATAATTAAAGGTCCAAGTGCCTATAAGATGGGCCAAAAAATCAAATTTATTATTTTAAATTTGCGGATAACCCACCTTGAAGACCTCCTCCGTCAGTAGCAGCAAGCACAATCCCGTAAGACTTGGTGTGCTCCCTGTCTAGACAGCAGACGGCAGTACTCAGAGCTCCCGTTTGCCTGTCAACAGTGAACATAGGCAGACCGGAGCTCTCATCAATGATGTTCTTCAGCAGCGAGTAGGACAGACGGGCGTTGTCACTTTCATGTGGGTCGTCAGCGTCGTAAGCCGACATTACGACCACGGTCGTTCCTTTAAAAGGATGAGGATATCGTGTAAAATTAAATAATTTTGACAAGTCAACGTGAACACGTTCTCTGGATGAATTGTGAAGTTGTGACCTAATCGCGTTTTTAGAAAACCCCGATTCTCGGTATATAAAAAAATGTTGGCTCACAGTGTTTCGGTGCTCGTGAGACGCTGCATGCTGTCCTTAAGAACGTATATCACAGATCCTAACCGGAACTGAGCTTTTGGCTAAACGAGTTGCTCTAGGGGACTAAAAACTGCATTTGTGCGCCTTCCATTTCACGCCCTCTCCTTCAGACGCCTTACTTTGGATAGTAGATCTTTAACAATAGCACATGCGTTTTGGTTTGGCTTTGGTGTGGCTGGTACCGCAACACTCGCTTTCCTCTCTCGAGTTCATGAGGCCAATACCACCAGTACTTGAGATCAATTCTATGCGCTGTGCAGGGCTACTTATAGCGGCAGACGTGAAACAAGAGGTGCATTAACGGGCCCGATGCAGTGAAAGTGGCGTTGTCGCGGTGTTCACATTATTTTCTGTGAATTCAGTCGGGATTAGGGCTCTTAGTGGTCGTGCCTATTCCCTTTTTCACCTTGTTAAGCTTGAGCCCTCGGCATTCGCTGTTGACACTTTCAGGAGAAGCTGCAGCAAGTACACCTACGTTGCTGCTTCAGGATATTTGTATCGCAAGGACCCGCGAAGATACGTTGAAAAATTCACTATTCATTATGTAAAAAATGTGATCAGACTCCGTATTATCTGAACAGAAATTTCTTGAATGATTTGATGGACTGGGAGGCGAAGTTTGACCTGAAAAATTATTATTATTTATAATTTCTTACACTGACGTCTTGCTCTTGAAATGTCATATTTGCTCCTGAAAATCGTACGTAAAAAAGTTTGGCTGAGTATAAAAGAATTCTTCAGACTCAAACGCAACAACGCTAAGAAACGTCATAAAGTTGAAATGCAGTTCCCAGAAAAGTGAGCTCTTTTCATGATGTAAACTTACACATAAGATGAGGAGGTAATATGGAACGGAAAGAAACGCAGTTCAATCATTTGCACATTTTGTTGCAAATGTTGATGCTTCAGAGTTTTTCTTCGTTAAATGCCTGCAAGTTTTGTCTACTCAGTTTTAAAACGTACACTTGTAAAATATAAAATTTATAGCCTTACGCCGTACAAGACTTTATAATTAAGCATTGAATAACACATCTGCCATATCGTGAATTTTCTAAATCTGGCACGCCTGTTTAATAACCTACCAATTATGCCGACAATAACTTCATAAGAAATAACCGTAAAAATAAACAGTAAATTAACCAATTGGGCGTATAATAACTTAGTTTAGACAAAAAATATCAAACCCCAAGCAGTAAGAAGGTCGTAATTTCATCCAAACTTCAATAGAAATCTTGTTAACTTCTTGGACGTGAAGCGTTGCTTGTTCAAAATAACGATGCGGAGCTGCTAACTTTTTGACGAGAGAAATTTCTTGTCTAGAATCTCATGCCGAGAAAAAGACAATATCTCCTAAAATATTTCCAAAGCTTTTCTCCTGCTTGTTGGAATAATTGAAATTCGAAATTGAGGTAATAAATTTCTATGCATTTTATTTTGATTCATTTTCTTCATATTTATCAACAAGTAAAGACTTGGTAATAGTGTTGTCGGCTTTTGAAATTAATGGCAAACGCGACGATTAATCTTGAACGTGATTTGGTAATCGTTATTTGCAGCCATCCCTCATTAAATTTTATTTCAGGTGCGAGTGATCACTGTCAGTTTTCGTTATGTTAATTTAAGTTCAAAATGCATGTTGCTCTTCCTTTGCAGACTCCGAAGTGCTCCTAATAATGAGCTGTGCCTCATATAGTGGAGCGACTAGCTCCTTCGCAGACACTTTTGACTTTTATTGAATCCATACATAAAAATGCTTTACTAGATATGAGAACTGAGTTATTCTTCAAGCTTTATATATAATAAGTATCAGAATCTGCCCTTCGTCCACTTCTCCCACTTTAAATGTGTCCCCCCAAAATGCCTCTTAATAGCCTCTTAAAATTACAGCTTGGTCTCAAAATATTCAGAGGTGTGTGGATAGGGTGGTAATTAAAACTTTCAATCAGAAGTTCCATTTTACTTCGTGTTTTTTCTATTATATTGCGTTTGTATATTACTGTTTATGTATAAGCAGCAATAAACAATGAAAGAGAATGATTATTTCGCTAATAATCTTTTTGAGGTGCGTGATTTATTTATTCATTATCTGTACCTATATATTGTCTGTCTCAACAGAGTTTACGAATAAATGTTTAATGGGTTTAATGCCTCCGTATACAAGCCTAACAGTGAAGTTACTTTTTATGAAGTTGCGTGCGCCGTTGCTTGCCTTGCTATACAATTCAAAGTGTTCTTATTAAATATAAAACGTTTTTATTGCATCCTTATTTTGCAATATTTTTACAGTAAATGTTTCATCATTAAAAAAATGAATGAAAAACTCGTTATAATAACCTAAAAAAAGTTGTCACCTGCCAGCGAGTTCTCCAAGACGTGTGCGTCGATGACGTCATGCGGGAAGACAGGTACGTTGTCGTTGACGTCCTTGAGGTTGACGACGACGTCAGTGGAGGCCGTGTGCTGCCCGTCCGTAGCCGTGACCGTCAGATGCCAGCGCGCCTGACCCGTTGGTGCGTCACGGTCCAGCGGCTGAAAAATATTTGAAAATATTTTTACGTTAATGAATCTCGATCACTGAAGTAGCGGGTTCCTCTTTAATGTCTCATCCCTGATCTGATCTTTCAGGAGAGCAACGCATTAAAATACCTGCACGTTTCATAGTAAGTTCCAGTTAATTTTCATTTTATCATCCATTTCGTCCATTCATAGCAGTAGTCCTGCACAACTCTAGTGCAGCTGGCACAGCAGACAACACTGCGAGCTTCCAGCAGCTGCCGAGGTTTGCACCTCAGAAAGCTGAGATACGGAGCTCTCTATAAATGCAGTAGGCAGAATGCTTAGTAAAGTTGCCATTGATGCTCCAGGCCAAAATCCTTCCAGGTTTTAAAAGTTTTTTCGCCTGAAAAATGG